TCATTCCTATTCACCTGATGGTTGTGAAGTGACAAACAAGATATAAAATAGTTAGGAAATCTAACATTCTAAAAAGATTCAGAGTTTTATTTATTACTTATCAATAGTAGTCAGACAAAGGCCAGATCATTCAATAAGACTTGCTCTCCCCTCCTGAGGAGCTTCTTCACTAAATGTTATCACAGCATACAGGGACCTCTCTAAAGTATGGAATGCAGCCATAGTGTCTGGACCTAGCAACTGTGACTCTGGATGCAATTCAGAATGCTGACAGTCTGAATGATTAACAAGAGTTTCATTTTACATAGCACCTTTTAGAGGTTAGGATTAAGTAAATTTTAAAATCTGAATTTGAATGGAGAGTGACTTTGTTGAACTGCCACTCCTCAGAAGGAAGATGGGGCAATCTACTTCCGTAGTGATACTGCCTCGGAAACCCAAGGAGGGGTCCCTATGAGTCAGGTCTAACTCCAGGGCACATCACAACAACACAACAACATACTTAATTAAGACTTGTTCACATTATATTCTAAATACTGGAGGGAGAAACCTTAAATACACATTAAGTTTTACTCTAGGATGGTCACCAGTTAAATAACCATCTATGGCTCACAGCAGCTTACTGTTGATCCCTTCCAAGAATTTAAACTTTCTTAAGAATTTAACAAAAACTCTTTTGTTCAAAAAACTTTGGTAGAAAATTACCCTAAATTAAGACAGTGGTTGTATTCCAGAGGAGCCCTGATGGTGCAGTGGTTAAAGCACTAACCAAAAGGTTGGCTGTTCAAACTCACCAGCCTCTCTGCAGGAAAAAGATGTGGCAGCTGCTCCCAAAAAGATGTATACCCTTGAAAACCCTATGGGTTAGTTCTACTCTGTCCTATAGGGTAGCTTTGAGTAGGAATCGACTTGACAGCAGTGGGTTTGGTTTGGTTTAGTATTGTATTCCAAGTTCACCTATCTTAGAAGCCAATGTTAGTACATAATTGCAATTCTAACTGATAATGAACAGCAATAACTTTCCAAGATACCATGTAAGAGATGATCGAAACAATTGGTCAATGCAAGCAAATGCAAAAGTGAGGGGAAATCATTTTGCATTCGGCTGGCCAAATTCAAGTAAAATCTTGGTTTCTTTTCTGGCTCTTCTCCCTGCCCCAACATCACCCACTCCTCCCACTACTAGCAGTTTTTAGGTCTGCCTTGCTAGAATTTGTTTTCCCTTTGAGAACTGTATCAGCCTAAAGTTATGCTAACTACAACAAAAGGTTAATTCTATTTTATTATGTTAAAACTCATTGTCACTTAGTTGATTCTGCCTACAGCACCCTACAGGACAGAGCAGAACTACCCCATATGGTTTACAAGGCTGTCCATCTTTACAGAACCAGAGAATCATATCTTTCTCTGCAGAGAAGCTGGTGGATTCCAACAACTGACCTTCTGGTTAGCAGCGAAGCGCTTTAACAACTAACTGTGCCACCAACGCTCCATTTATTATGTTAACTATGCCACTCCTCGGAAGGAAGGTTGGGCATTTCTACTTCCGTAGTGATACTGCCTCGGAAACCCAAGGAGGGGTCGCTATGAGTCAGGGCCGACTTGATGGCAAATAACAACAACAACACGTGTAAAGTTATTCGAAAGAATCACTTGGCTGGGTCTTTTTCCCCTTTGTGCCAAGTGGATTCAACCTGACCCCAAAGCATCAGTATTCTATAAGAAAAGTGTCAGTTGAGTAACTCATTATCAACTTATTGACTGGCCTTTTAACATCCAAGGTCTTCAAAAAGAAATGCATAGTCAGCCACAGGAATAACAAATATTTGAAATTAACCTTTGTTTTTGCTTTCACTCTATATTATGCTTTTCTTTAAATATTTTATGCCCTTTGATTAAAATA